CGGTAGATAGAATATATGAATATATAATTATGGAGAGTGGAAAGGGGGTAGAAGTGCAAGTATAAAATGGTGAGAGGGGAAAGAGCCTAAGAGAAGGAAGATGAGCAGTGACATCTAACCCTAAGGGTCATTTATGGAGTCATATGGAAACCTATGAGCTTCTTAAATCTAAGGTTCTTTAAATACATGTATAACTGAAAGAAATATAAATGGAGTCACAAAATAATGGCAGAGACACTGCCCCAACGAGGCATCTCACATCTCTGCCTTAAACATTACCGCAACCTAGAGAGAAAGCAGCTCCTAGACGGCCCAGCATATGAAAGAAGTCCATAGTGTCAGCATGCAAGACTTTTCTATCTGAGGGTTTGTGGAAAACAGATACTCACACACTCTTCTGATGGATTCCTTCTCTATTCTCTCCAGTTGCCATAGTTTTCTTTCTTGTTCTTCACAGTCAGATATACCCATCAAGATCTCTCAGGCAACACAGGAGTCACATATGAAAGTCACATTCCATTTCAGTAATGTGTCATAAATTGTTCAGTGTAGGCTCATGGTACTGTCAATCTTTTAGCATCAGCTTAGTTAACATTCCCCCAAGTTATTGTTGCCCTTTAAATCTCAGAATGTACTTTCTGCCCTGCCTATAACTCAAGACAATATAAAAGGAAACGTCACTCTTTCTCAGGGAAATGAAGTCAAATTACTTTTTTTTGTAGCACTGACCAGCAAGATCGTCTCTTCCTGCAGTATTTCTGAACAATAGCTGTATTAATTACTGTCCTGGGATAACAATCATACCAAGTAATGAAAGTGTGTGCAGCAATTAGGTTGCTTCACACTTTTAACTCTGGCTCAACAAATCAGACAACTTGGCTATATATCCTTGTAAACTAGATTGAATTTCTAGGAATAGTTTATCTTACAAACCACATCTAGTTTAATGTAAAGCTATTTTGAAGTTTTATATTAGCTAATAGTGCACAGCTCTCCTGGAAGCTGGGGAAAATTCCACCAGTTTCCTTACTGTCAACCTAAGCTGTGATGTAAAACATCTCCTAGGAGTAGCTCGTAAACTTTAACTTTGTATCATTTTTTGAATTCATTTTTATTCGTCAGAATTCTATAGAAGCTAACATTATTGATGTCAATTATGCAATACAGGTTAAGGAGGAATCATCTTTTAGACAATCCACAGATAAAAATGCTCAGAAGATTGTCATGTACTCATGAGACAAATGCACTGTGATACAGGGAGATCTGCAGCACCACAGGTGAAGTTACAGACAAAAGCAGGAGATATTCCAAAGTCTGTAGCCTCGTGGCCTTTCCTGATGAGATTTTCCCTTCAGAAAGTTTTCCTCCTGGTGTGCTGACACCTTGAATATTAGTTGCCATCTGCTGTTAATAATGCATGGCCCGTGGCAAAACATACAGTGTCAGGATTGGTTTATATAAATACTTAGGTGTTGGCCAAAGAGATCCCATGGAAACCCCTAACAACTTGGGCTATTGTCAAGGTTGTTAGTTGCTCCCCACTAACTGAGGGTAAGGCTCTATTGTTGAAGAGGATATTTGTATTTCTTCTTGAACATAGAGAAGAGTAGTTGAGCTGGGGCTTAACTATAGCCTTCATCTCTGCTGACTAATATTCATTGAACTGGAAGGTACTCTGCATACTAACAGAGGAGAAAACTAATCAACAACCCACCTACAAATCTTTCAGTCTACAGAAGTGACCTATTTGTAGCCTAAAGCCTTATAAATGTGGGTGTAACTAACCACTCTCAGTTTGGATTTAAAGTCCATTCTGCAAGATGAAGCCCATAATGAGGGTTGCTTGGATTGCTAAGAACCTGAGACTAGATGGTCCATGGACCTAGGCAAAACCAAGTACTGCTGAAGTAACATAGCAATAAAATGACTCCTTAGTGATATTCTACTACACCTGTAGATCATAGCTTCACTCAGTCGTCATCATAAAAGATTTCTCTTGTAGTAAATGGGAACTCTTGCAGAGACCCGCAACAAGACAATGTGCAGCAAGTGCAAGGGATTCAAGACACTGGTTCCAGAATTAATCAGGGGGCTATGTGGAAAGGGAGGTGGAAAGACTGTAAGAATTAGAGCAGCTAGATTGCTTCCTGAAAGAGTGATTTCCAGACATTGTTGCTGCCACCTCGACCAGCAAGGACGACGCGACACCGGAGCTCTTCTTGCATGCACTTTTATTCAGGACCTTTTACAATTGGCTTCTCTCACTTCTCTCCCCGGGCAGCCCTCTCCCAGCCCTTATATAGCCTATGGTCGCCTATCCTGGAGTGCCATGTGGACATCGCCCATAGGCTCAAGCATACACAAGCAACATACGATCATAGCAAGTTACAGGCCATAACCATAAGAGGAGTTGTTTGTCACAGAGAGCACTCGCTTTTGGGCTTGCGAGGGCGGCAGCCGGCGCCATCTTTAAGGTGCGGCTCCACGGAGCTCTCTACAAACATAAGGAAACTAATGCACATATGACTTCACAGAAACTTTGTCAGAATGTACAGCTCCTGCACAGATTTATCCTAATTTTGTCCCAGAGTCAAGAGGAGGAATTGGGCATGAGCTCCCATTCTTAAGAGGATATCTCCAATTTGCAACTCTTTGCGAAAGAAAAATAAATTTTCCGGTATGGAGTCTCAAAGGACATATAAATCACACTTTGGGATTGGCCCTAACTCAATAGTAATGGTCAATACAAAACAACTCAATGTTACTTTTGTAGACTTGCTTTCTTTTTTAAACCTCATATTGCTTCATTTGGGCTTTTGAAAATCTTACTGGTACTTTGTGTATTATGGTTTTAGCTTCTATGTTTTTATGTGTTTTGTTTGTGTGTGTGTTTTATGGTTATGTCTCTCTATGTATGATTCTTTTCAAATAATCTTTTTTGGGTTTTCTTCCTAAAGAGAGAGAGAAAAATAATATATGGAGGTATGGAGTTGGACAGCTTGGGAAGTGGGAAAGATATGGGAAGAATTGCAGTAGGGGAAATTGTAATCAGAATATACTCTGTGATGAGAATTTATTTCCAATAGTAATAGTGGGGTTTATTACCCAGAACACTGATTCCCATTCAAAGGAAAAACAAGAGGATTGCAAAACCTTGGCAAACAAAAATGCTCTTCTTCCCAGCATTCAGTTCTGTCTACTCCGCCTACCTAAGTTCTGTCCTATCAACTAGGCCGAGGCAGTTTCTTTATTCAATACCCAATGAAAGCAACACACAAACAGAAGGAACTCCTACACCAATTCCATATCAAATATATACATAGTCGGAGGTGTTTCTGGCATCCTGATTCCAGGTTTCTTTGTGAGACTTAATGAAGACTTGATTCTAACATATAACAGGACACTTTGCATAACTGTCACATCACATGAAGCTAATGCACACTGACACAAAACTTTAGCTTATATCCCATGCTACTAGTTGTTATGAGCTTTAGTGTTTTTACTCTACCTACAAAGTTCTGTTCCTATGAAAATATAGTAGTTTTATTTTAAAAAGCAAGTCACTTTAATATTTTATACTATCCTTACCTAGTTTATAAATATGAAATTAATACACCTTTGACTTTTGTGTGTCATCATGCTTGATTGCTGATTTCAGTTGCAAAAATTATTGAATGAATATCATTTTGGGATTAGGATAAAAATTTCAAAATTTTCAACAGTTTTTGAAAAGTCTACAAATATTTTTGGTCCCTTTTTCCTGTGGTCTTCTTAGAATTGGTTGCTATAAAATATCAGCAAACTCTAAAAAAGCTTTGAAGTTGCTCTATGTCCTGAATATTAAATATCCAGATTTAATTCTTTGTGCAAAAAATGAACAAATCCATCTGTTTACCATGACCCCCACAAAAGAGTAATATTGGAAGCACCAATATTAAATGTTAAATGTATTTGTATAAATACTATAAGACATTCTTGGGAAACAGACCAGCTAATGTCCATGTATAATCTTATTCCAAGATTAAGCTGGGTATTATTTATTTAACTACATACTCTCATTAAGTAAGATGAGTGCTTCCTGGATACTAATTCATTGAGCCAAGTATGACCAGAAATTATTAAATAAAAGGATCAGCTTTTGACATAATCTTTGTTCTTATTGTCTTCTTGATTCACAATCAGATGAGAAAGGACAAATTTAAAAGTATTCAATCTGTTCACACAATTCCAAAAAATGTGTCAAGCAAAAATATGAGATTTAAATAAAACTTTCCTAGTTTATAGTAAATCTGTCTATAAATATTTCCATTCATCCATATAGTTTTCAAATCTTCCTCTTCACTTCTTTATAGATTCAAAACTTTTTGTGTGTGTGTTCTCGAATGCAAACATGAATATGTGCTCACAACTAAATGTGATAACATAGTAGAAATCTAAGAAAACCCTAACCATGTTATTTCAGTTTTGAATTTTATATCAGAGACAAAAAGTGACTTAATGCTCACTAACTCAAGGATGAGTCATAGAAACCAGATTTACAGAATTGTTCTTTCTTATCTTTCTTTGGGGAGTAATCAGAGTTACTTGGAATTTATTAGGCACTTGCACATGGTCCTGAATATACGTACACCAAACTAAGACTTACAAACATTAAAAGGTTGAACTCCATGCAATATAAAATAGATCTCAATGTACCTATTACTTTCATATTTTAACTTTTAATATTTCCATCATTTCTCGGTGTAATGAAGCACTTTTGATGCAGTCTTTCCTTCTGTGTCTTAGTGTGGTCTCTCTAGCATATCCTCAGTTATCTATACTTCCGTATTGCTCGAAGTTATTATCCATTCTTTAGCACGTCTGTAAAGTCATGTATGGGTAACTGGAAGCATTGCCCTTGGCTCGAAAATGTTACCCATCACACTTTGCTGTCAGTAGTTCTGAGAATCATAACCCATGATTTGAGCATTTTTCTCTTTCTTCTTCTTTTTTATCTAAAGTCGAAGACAGGGGTTTGCTTGCTACAAGATGGTAATCAGGAACCTTTTAAAGTCCGGCTGCATCTTGCCAGAGATCTGCTGATGCTACAGGAGCAAGACGTTCTGTGTGTGTCTGGTGAGCCTTTCTATTCTGGTGTAAGTACCTCTTCCTTTGGCATTTTCTGCTTGTGCTTTTTGATGACGAAAATGCTTCTTCAAAGAAAATGTGGAGCATAATTTCTCTCACTTTGGAGCTAGTCAATGGTCCTGTAGGTAATTTGTGTTCACACTGCTCAGTAAACTATGTCCCTGTCTAAGGACATTGATTATGCCACGACACACTATAGAGCCTTCTTTCTTTATCTACTCAGTCCTTGCTCTCATATAGCAGGAAATGCAATCTGTATTTTTCTGATTATGAAAGAGTACAGGGATAGTTTTCAACTATGCATTCTAATGCTTTTGGTCCTGAGCGTATCAAGATAATACCACTCAGGATTGGTGCTGAATGCGATGGTAGAAATCATTTCCCAGTGTCCTTGAAGAGAGAGATTCAAGGCACTGCTCACTGAGTTCAATTAAATTGTTTTGCCCTTGACTGCAGCTGAACGAGTATGCAGACCTTCAGGTTAGAATCATACAAGAGCAGTTACCAATGGGCACTCACTGTTCGAACACATTTGTGAAGCTCTCCTGAGTCTAGCTTCAAGAGAAAAGCAAAAATATAAAATGTTTTATAAATCCAATTGGTATACCTGTTAGTACCACATCACATTATACAAGACATCCTTAACTCACATTTTATTTAATTTAATATTTTTAATATACCACAGACTTTATTATAAAATATAAAATCTCTCTCTTTTTTTTTACTTTTTTTTATTAAATTATAAAAGTTTCCATTTCAGCCCCTCCTCCCAACACCCTCCCACTCCCCCCACTCCCTCTCCTCCTCCCTCTACATCCCCTAAAGCAGTCAGGGTTTCCTGCCCTATGGGAAGTTCAAGTTCCTCCCCCCTCCCTCCAGGTCCAGGGAAGGTGAGAGTCCAAACAGACTGGAGCGCCAAAATCCAGTATATGCAGAGGAAGCAAGTCCCAGTGTCATTGTCAATGGCTTTTCAAAAAGGCTCCAGGCCAGCCACATTTAGAGAATCTGGTTGGATCACGTCCTCGTTCAGTCCCAGTCCAACAGGCCTTGGTGAACTCTCATTATATCAGTCCCCTTGTATCAGTGGGTGCTCGCATCCCTCGCAGTCCTGATTACTTTTTTTATTTTCTTCATCCTTCTGCTCCTCATTTGGACCGTGGAGTGCTCAGTTCGGTGTTCCAATATGGGTCTCCATCTGTATCGCCATCCAACGTCGGATGAAGGTTTCCTCTGCCCTTGCCTTCTTTGCTCACTGTTCTCTTTCCTTCTGCTTCTCATTTGGACCTAGGGAGCTAGGTCCAGTGTTCCAATGTGGTTCTCCGCCTCCATCTCCATCCATCACCAGATGAGGGTTCTATGGTGACATGCAAAATATTCATCAGTATGGTTGTGGGTCACGGCCGGTTCAGGCACCCTCTCCTCTGTCCAGAGAACCATCTGGGGATCTCTCCTTGGACCAGGGATCCCCTTTATAATCAAGTCTCTTGTAAACCCTAAAATGATTCCCTTAGTTGAGGTATATACTTGCCTGATCCCATATCCATCCTTCCTCCCTCCCCCCCCATCCCAGTCCCCCGATCTTTCCCCAATCCTCCCCTACTCCCTTCTCTCTAACCCTCTCCCTTTCCATCAACCCTCCCACCCCCCCATACACCCGAGGTTACCTGGGACTCTTGTCTATTTCCTACCTCCTGGCGGATAGCTAAATAATCTTCATCAGGTTCATCTTCTTATTTAGCTTCTATAGGATCACGAATAATAGGCTCAAAGACCTTTAATTATGGTTAGAATCCACTTATGAGTGAATACATACCATGTTCCTCTTTTTGGGTCTGGCTTACCTCACTCAGTAAAGCGTTTTCTATTTCCATCCATTTGCATGCAAAATTCAAGATGTCATTGTTTTTTACCGCTGAGTAAAACTCTAATGTGTATATGTTCCACACCTTTTTTACCCATTCTTCTATTGAGGGGCACCTAGGCTGTTTCCAGGTTCTGGCTATTACAAATAGTGCTGCTATGAACATAGTAGAACAAATGCTTTTGTAGTATGTTAGGGAATCTCTAGGGTATATTCCCAAGAGTGGAATTGCTGGGTCCTGAGGGAGGTTGACTCCCAGTTTCCTGAGAAACCGCCACACTGATTTCCACAGTGGCTGCACAAGTTTGCATTCCCACCAACAATGGATGAGTGTTCCCCGCATTCCACATCCTCTCCAGCATAGGCTATCATTGGTGTTTGTGAGTTTGGCTATTCTGACAGGTGTAAGATGGTATCTCAAAGTTGTTTTGATTTGCATTTCCCTGATCACTAAGGAGGTTGAGCATGACCTTAAGTGCTTTTTAGCCATTCGAAGTTCATCTGTTGTGAATTCTCTGTTCAGTTCAGTACCCCATTTTTTAATTGGGTTAATTAGAGTTTTAAACTTTTATTGAGCTCTGCATTTTTCTCTGCTCCCCTCCTGCCTTTCCTCTCCCTTTCAATCCTCTCCCAAGGTCCCAATCCTCCCAATTTACTCAGGAGATCTTGTCATTTTTACTTCTACAAGTTTGATTGTTAAAGATGACTACCTATTCACCTGTATTTCTTAGTTATATATTACATTTTAAAAGGAACTACATAGGTACAATGCCTTAAACAAGAGTAGAAATATGTATATATATTAAATTTGTATCAATATACACAAATTCATACCAATGTAAAATATTTGAGGCTAGTAGTAATTTTGTAATTGAAAAGTAGATTAAATAATATACCTTTTTAAGCTATCATTCCCATATCTTATTTTTTCATTCAGAAAGAGATCCTGAAATCCAAACTCTCTTGCTTAGTTTCCTTCATATCATGACCAGTAATAATTTGCAACAAATCCACCTAAATGATGACAAACATCCATAACCCACTGAATGACTATAAACAACCCAGACTACCTCTTGGGTAGGTGGGTATCAAGTTCTTAAAATTATGACCTACTATTTGGGTTTGACAGCATCTTTGGAAGACCCTGAGAAAATTGAGATAATGGACAAGTCCCAGGATAGCTAATTGTTTCATTTGTTGTCCAGTATCTCTGTAATGGGAAAGTCCATGGTTTATCTAAAATCCTGCCTAGAATAGTCTGTGAAGCTGAACCATCTTAGCTAACTTCTCTGAAGGTTCCCAAACAGTTTGTAGTACAAAAGTGATAATTGGGTGGTGTTTGTCAGTTTAGTGACCACCCTCCAGGTAGAAAAATCCTTGTGGGACCCATCATCTTTTAGGAAACTACAAAGGTTTTTATATGGAATGGTCATAGTTCACCTCAGAAAACTCAAACATTTTCAAGATCATATACAGCAGATATACTCAGAAAGGTTAAAGGAACACAATGTATTAAATATATCTGGGGTATGCAGACTTAATTACTAGTTGCCTGCTTCAAACTCAAGCCTGAAATCACATGCAAGAAGATAAATGAAGCCTATTTTTAGAATTAGAATTACTCTATCCTACTATTAATATCATGACAGGAAGTTTAATATATATACATATTTAATATACTTATAAATTTTTAATATATATGAATTTGGGGATATATTTTTACCTTAAGAAAAGTTTTAAAGAAACAAAATAAAACCAAATGATTATGAGATTAGTAAAAATAAAATAGTCCCTTAATTTTAGTTTTTTTGTCTGTCCCGTACCAGGTGGCTCTGCTGACATGAGACAGAGATTTTGAATAGTACTCCACTGGCCATTCAAGTTGTGGCCTGGCCAGGATTTTGGTTCTATGGCCCTAAATATGCCACAGTTGTGATATGTATGTTTATATTAAGTCATCATTATTGTATTTATCAATAAAACATGGACGATAAAGATTGTGGGAAAAGCCTACCTACTCAGAGAGGTTGAGTAGCAACTAGTTAACCTTGTTTTTTGGCTGGAGATAACACAAGAGACATGTCTCTCTTCTTTGTCACAGAACCAAAAGTAAGATCAAACTCTAGTCCCTCTCCTTTACTTCCTATGTGCTTTTTCCACCCAAATTGCTAGCTTCTCAATGGCTACTTCCAACAGGTAGTTGCAAGTTCTGCCCAATGATTCACAGTAAGCATTTGACAGTGTAGAGTGGCACACTGTGACTGAAAAATCCCAAACAGAACTATCTCTTGTATTCAAGCCTTTCATGATCTGTGGTCCTTGTGTAATTCAAATTTAAGTATAAACAGTTGTATTTAACCTTCCATATCAGTCTGTGTGTATTGTCAGAGTGTTACGCAAGTATGCTTCCTCTGCTGTGAAAATTTGAAAAAACACTTTATTCCAACAGTTTGAGAGTAAGGGAATAAGAAAATGAAGCTGTTAAACTTTTCAGAAAAATAAATGTCAACAGCACTATTGCAAACATAATTTTGGTTCTATTTCTTCAGTTAGTGACATGATTAGGACAGAGTTTCAAGGACAAGGTGGGTTGGAGGTGGTAGATGCTCATTAGCTCATAAGTCACTTGAGTGTGATATTGTGACCCTAACGTGATAATAGAGAATAGAGAATGTGAAACAAGACATGGAAACCTAAAGGTAGATGGCAGGATCATCAGATATTTTGAGAAAATTAGAAGGCTCAATTCTGCTGAAATTCCAGGTTAACACACAATATCAGTGTCTCCCTACATTCTTCAACTCAGCATGCAGCTGTTTTTATGTCCATTGTTCTGCCCCATTGACTGAAATTGCTTGTGGAAGTATCAATACCTGAAAGATGGGGCAAGCTCAGCTCAGGCTGAGATTAGGCTCTTGGACAAACGGACATGAGAAGCAAGGAGATCAGTTTGGACTGAAGATAGTGATGGGCTGGACAATGTTTCCATGTTAGAGTCACAGTCGGGAGAGTGAACCCAGCCATAGGCATTGCAGGATAAAGGCTTGGACCTGTTTCAATGATAAACACAGGTTCAAAATGTCTCATTAAAGCACTTGAAAACTGAGTTCAGGTACATGTTAAAAATATTCAGTGTGATAAACTTAG